ACAGCTTTTGTTATTTTTGTTTTGCCCTTGAAATTGAATCCAATATGAATAAATGAATAAAGTTAGTCTTTAATATGCATATATAGGTTCAAGTCCCAAAGTCAGGCCAAAACCTAACTCTCCATCAAACGTTTGAGCAAGATACTTCTAGCGTCGTTCACGTCTCTATCCACCTCCACCTCACACGAATTATATTTAAACGTTATTGATCTACGGAGAAAACTTTTTATGAATCCACAATTCCCACACGTCTTAGATGTATACTCCTAGGTGCACTCAAAGATTTTGCAGCACTTGTACACTCTTATCTTGTGTAAAAGAAACATTCGAAATCTGTAATATGACCAAGTCAACATCGCACGAGCAGTCTTTGACTGAATCTTCCGCTTGTTCTTCAAAACCATACTCGAAGATTCGAACTTGATCGATGATACCAAAGAAAACGAAAAACATAAGAAAAAATGTCCCAGGTGATTCATAGTTATGTTAACCGTATTATTGACATCTGGTGATCATTCTGAAGTGACAATATTCTCTAGGAACGCGTATTTCCCTCTGTTGCCACTAACACAAAGTCAGAAGGGTACCAAGACTTTCTCAATACTGTGATTCCTATTCTAATCCCTAGCAATGATCGAGATGGTTTGTTAGATTTCTTCGATCTATACTTCATTCTAAAATTATTTTCATGCAACTTCTTGTTTGTTTTGAATGCGCCCATAAATTGTCGAATCACGTACTAATGTACTCCATAAGAGTCTCTTTTACCCAAAAGAGCTCTTCAGTTGTGAAGCACTCGTCATTCAGGTAATGTCTTCGTATGACGCTCATGTCTGTAATTCCATTATCTCAAGAATCTTGTACGTCTATCTCGCCGTTCCCATCTACTTTCTTGGATAAATCCGTATATTTTGAGTTTTCATGTTTTCATTATCTCTTCGTCGTTTTCGGTTCTCGGCTAATCTGAGCCCTTTGTGCCTTGCTGTGAAAATAGCAACGATCGATAATAGTTCCTCGGCAAGTTCGCCGGATTCGGTGTCAACAATGTTGATGTCTGAACCGAATACAACGATCTTTTTACCGTTCTTGCCAAGAATCCCTTCGACAAGCTCTTACGCAAGTCTGCAGAGCCGTTCCTTCCTGGTAACCACAACTTCTTCGATATCTCCTCGGTGTGATCGTTCCAAAATAATGTAAGCCCTTGCGTTTCCAGTCGAGACCTAACCCATTGTCCTTGATGAGTTCGTGATTTGGACATTTCTGTCTGAGGTACTTGCATTGCCTCTTAATGACCTTGCGTAATATATCTTTTTCTTTTCATAATTCTTTATTTCCAAAGATCCCTTCCACATCCGCTACAGAATACAATCTATGACCACCAGGTGTTCTGATACTCGATATCTTTCCTTGGTTGTTCCCGCCTTCTCAATGTTTTTGATGAAATTTCATATGTTTTTCTAATCTCTTATGCTCCACAATATTTTGTTGTTGACATTATCTTGCTCAAACATACGAAAACGGGACTTATTTATACTTTACAACGAATATTGAATCATCGACAATGGTGTAATAGTGATAATTCAATATTCTTTTGTCATAAATAATCAAATAATATAAAATACTTACTATTTTTAAAAATAACAATTAGTAAGATGAATAACAAAGTAATATATTTAATTGATAAAATTGTATTGTTTACGAACCGTTTTTGATCACATGACCTTCATCCAGAATGCAGTAATTCCAATGAATGTTTGCTAAATCATCTATATCGTTACGCACAATGTCATATGACATAATAACCACGTCATAGCTAGATAACTTCGGTCGCAACCTTTAAACAATATTTTTTTCGGTTAGAAACGGATTCAAATTGTACGAAAGAAAGATTGATTAATCTTGTAGAAATCACCTGTCCCGGTCTTTTGGATTACCAGAATATAAGAGGGGCTTCAATGTGTCAGTATAATTTAGAATTTCATGATACCAATGCCCTGTTAGTGTGGGAGGACACACTACGAGAGATGGACAATGTACACTATCAGGTGATTTTGTCGCATTGTATTTGACAGCGCGTAAATG